GAATCTTGTGTTTAATTTTCAAATCTTAGATTTAAAAAGAAAAATTTTTACGAATTCTTAACTCAAAATAATTTGCTAATTTTCGTGATTTTCCCATATTTTGTCAATTTTTGAACTTTAAATGCTTATAAAAAAAAATTGTGACTAAGGATTTTTAATATTTTTCATCTGCCTTTGAAGCAATATATTAGGAGCCTTCTATTAAATTTTCAAGCTTTCGCAACCAACAAATAAAATTTTATTGATATTTTTAGAAAAAAAACTAAAAAAAATGGAAAATGAAAATGTCCCTAAACAGTTCAAAATAAATCAAAATATTTTGAAAATGTTATCGTGTATAGAAAATGCAAATATAAACAACCAGTGAAAATTTCATGTATATACGTTCATTTGTTTCACAGTTACACCAAAAACCAAAATCGATTTTTTGGAAAACCAATTTTGCGTAAAAATTCCCGTTTTTCCTTAATTTTTATGTTGTTTTTTCCCGGCGCTTGTGAAAACTACTGGGAAATTTATACTTTTGACCCCCCAAAGTACCAACTAGATTCACTTTCCTATCAGAAAAGCTACTGATGAAGAAAATCCAAGCACTTTTACTGTCCTAAAACGTGATGACAGACACAAAAATAAAAAAATAAAAAAAAAAATAAAAAAAAATTAAAAAAAAAATAAAAAAAAAAATAAAAAAACACACATCATTGTAAAATCAATACATTCATCGTTTCACTCAGAATCTAAAAATAAACACGACCTTATTGTTTTGAAATGCAACCATGTTGATCCTCAAACATTAATTTACTTTTAAGAACAATAAGAGGGTTAATTATGTTTTCTTTACCCCTTAACAGTCTCTTTCTTCTTTTCCGTGCGCCTCAGAAGTTTACCAATTTAATGTAGAGATAATACAATGAGTTTTGTAGACTACTTACACTTACCTGCAGCATTATTATTTCATTTTTTCAACATAGTAATTGCAATTTTTATACAAACATAAAAGTATGCTTAAAAACCATAATAAAAGTATTTCATTGTTCACGCTATGTTTATAATACATATAAATATATATATATATAATATATATATATTGCTGTTATATATAAAAAAGAAAACGCTTTCTTGAATGTGAATGAACTTTTTAAGCTTTTTCATTTCTTAAACAACAGCAGTAAATCGCATTGAACTCTCCAATATATTGTGCAATCTGTAATTAAGTTTCAAGTCATAACGTCGAACGGTAAATATCAAAGTAACTACAACAATGATAAGTTATTAAAAAAAAAAGTTTCGTTTTGTTTTTACAAACAATACATAATTAATCCCATACAAGCTGGCCTATATATGTATAGCTGGTGTGTATACTATACAACGTAATAGTCTGTACGCATCTTTTTCGAATATTGTTAATATTTAATTGTGTAGGTCTTTATTAAAAAGTATATATAGGTAGGTATTAGTAAATATTATATAGCTCTGTTTTCTCGTTATTTAACGTTCATATTATATAAAATGCGCATATACTGCAATAGTAATAATACTTTATACCTATTTTGTATTCACTACCACGTTACGACTAAGTCAATACTTACTTAATTTTATTTGCTAAATATTTTTTTATTATATTGTTGTCATAGGCAGACATAATAATATAATTCTATAGGAACGTAAAGTAAAAAAAAACGATTATTATACGCTCGTCGAAAAAGCTAAGCGAAGTAAACAGTGCACATGGTACACCCGTATTATACACTCTCCAACAAAAGCGATATAAAAATATTATTTATTAATTATTATATACGTTTATTCGAGTATAATAATATATTATTATAATACTCGTACGAATGCATACACATTATTACCATAATATATAATATGTTCAAAAATATATAATATTATACAAATAATTAGTGCTCTTCTCAACGATTTTTGTCATGTGCGATAATTATTTTAATACAGTATAATAATATATCATAATATAAAGTCGAGTTGTATAATTTGTTTGCACAAAAGCGCGCGCGGTCTCCTATTATTATTGTTATTGCTATCATTGTTACTCTCATTATGGTTATGAGCTTTTCGCGCCGAGTCCTTGCCACCGAGGCAAGTCTCTTTCGTGCGCGACAATAGCAAAAATTAAATTTAACGCGCCGAGGAAAAAAAAACCACACTTCCGGTGCGCGTCCGGTTATTTATGGCGTTCGAAATCGTATAACAACAGCTGCTGCGCGTGTAATTAAGAGAAATCCACACACAACGACCACTATACACTACGACTGTTGTACACCATAGCACTATTTCTAAACTGGTCGCTATTACTGAAACTACTATATATATACTCTCATACATGTGTGTATATACATATGCTGTGCACTACAGCGGATCTTTCGAATATTGCGGTTTTCCAAAACTTGCCGCACACGAACTTTAGACGCATAAAAAAAAATAAACGCGTGGTGTAATGCGCGTATATATATAATATATTATTACCGCTAAATACAAACCGTGTAATGTGTGCTTGTGCTTACATGCCAGGGGGAGGGGGTTCGGAAGGGGCTCCGCTCGGACCACACACACATATATACACGATATAATATAGTACACCATCGCAAACACATTGCATTTACGTCCATTGAAACGCATTCATATTATTATATACCTATATCATATCATATGCTCTCTCTCTATATATATAGATATATGTGTATAATGTATAGAGATAGGTACATATGCAGCCTGTACTAGTATTATAGTACTGATGTTATATACTGCTAATGACCGTCACTAATACTGCTACTGTTACTGCTGCTGCTGCTGCTCCTCCTCCTCCTCCTCCTTCTATGTACTCGGAAATATATTACATTATTGTATAAATAATAGTCTAAACACACATGTAATAATATATGGGTATATTTACCTATACTATTTACGGTCGTGTTTGATCTCTATTCTGTATTCACACAGCACAAGTGAGGGGTTCCTGAAACAACACTCTGCTGCGCACTGCCTATTTCGGATAATATCTGTGTCAACAACTCTACGATATGATACCTATAATACGCAGATCGGCTTCCGGTGATCAATGAAAATAATAATTATTATCATAGGCGTGCGTAGGCCTCTTTTTCAGGGTATGCAGAAGGCTGCCACTGGCGCTCCCTAAAAGTTATTTTAAACATTACAATTTTGATAAAATATACACAATACGTAAATATTGAAATATCTTAATGTTTAATTAAAAAAATTATATATAATCATATAACTAGTACAAACAAAAAAAAAATGTTGTCTTATAAATAAAAATTATAATTTATCATAACACCATTCTGCCATTCTTCGTTGGGTAGCGTTTTTTAAAACATCCTTGATGTCTCCGGGATTTCAAATAATTACTTTACTATAGGTTCGAGCTTTTCCGTATTGACAGATCGATATTGTAACAAATACTATGACAAATTCAAAAATATTTTTCAAATACTTGGTAGTTGATAACCGATAACTGGATGTTTAATTTGCTAATAGCACAGCCATAGGCAGTGGTATGTCCATACGTCAGACGGTGGTTAGCATTGCAATCACCTCATTATCATTCTATACGTGAATCAAATGTTATCCCTGCCGTTAGTCTGATATCATTTCCCTCGTATTTAATCATATATTGTTATCGTCATAAATATTTTAATATACGTACTAATTATTTTTCTAGAGCAAAAAAATTTTGCAGAGTCGAATTTCACCCCTCAAAGAGCTTCAGGGTATGCAGCTGCATACCCTGCATGGCTTCACACCCCCTGCGCACGCCTATGATTATTAATTATTATGTATTATTATAATAAACGAATACACTTGTCAGCAGATTTCTCCGTAGGTCGTTTCCGATGAGCGTTTTGTTATTACCATTATTATTATCATTATTGTTGTGCTTACACACAACACCTATAATATGCAGTGGCGTAATTTGGGGTGGAGGGGTTAGGGGGAAATCCCCCCTTGCCATTAGCTGGCCGCTTTCGGGCCGGGTATGGGCTAGTTTTGGGCCTTCATAAAGTATAGCTAATAGATAATATATTTAGGTATCGCCCTACATATGTATTAATTATTTAATCATTGCTATATCTAAAAAAAAATGGGTCATTTATGCCTATGCTACTAACTAGTAAGTATAAAATTATGAATTAAGAAGGCTATTTGTATTGAGATAAAAATGCAGTTGTAATGGAATGTAATGTAATTGTTAGGTTTTTTTCAGTTTTATTAGGGACTGGTCAAATAATTTGTCTCTTTCTCTTCAAAACTAAAATGACGCCACTGCCTATAATATATATGTTTAGATATAAATGTGTAATGTAGGTAGGTACATAATACCACAGAATATAATATGTATTATAATATCTCAATTCCGATCGGCAGGAATTCCCACACGACGCTCTGCTTTATATATAATAATGTAATATAACAGCGGCGCTTGCAGCATACAATATTATAACAATGTTATTATGTATCTATCGTATACCTACACGACCTACCTACATCGTAGTAAAGAACTAAAAATAAACAAACTGGAGCAACGCACGAGGCTAACCGCAGGGGTAGATAACGACGAACAATGCGAGGTGTATAATATCATAATATAGGGACGCGACGGACATTATAATATTGTACGTTGTTATATAATATCATAATACATTATATTGTATAATAGTGCTGAAGGTACGAATAAGTGTAGGGACGAAGACAATTGTATCTAATCTGGTGTACGCGTTGGTTTTTTCGTATCGAATTTAATTCTTTTTTTTTTTTTCGTAAATTTGACTCAAAAATGTTGCTACCTCGTACACCGGCCTTCTGCCACCGCCGTCAGTCTGTGAACGGACATTCGAATCGTCGGGCGACTCGCTGCAATCATACCACTGGGCACGTTCTTTACCCACACATACATAATAATAATAAAGGGTACGTGTCGAAGATATCATAATAATACACATACCTGAAGCAGAATCGTGATGATTCGGACGAACTACCTGGTCGTATGTATTATATACATCGCAGCCTCGCCACTGCTGCTGCTGCCGCCGCAGGTAAGACACGCACTCACAACCCCCGAAAAACGATTTATTCCACCCTTATATTATTATATTATTATTATAGACGTATTTTATTTTTTTTTATTATCATCATTATATTATTGTTACTTATTCACATTCAGCTGCGCGGGGACTATAGTATATATTATATAATAATAATAGCTGTACGTTGCGTGCCTTTGAATAGCGATATAATGTGTACAACCTTCTGAGAAATTCCACAAAAGACGGTTACATCAACAGGTATAACCGTCGCGTTGTTATTATTATTATACTATTATATATAGGAACACGTACATTTTATCGCCCCCCGCAGGATTTTCAATGCACTTAAATATTTTCATAATATACCTACTGGACGACGCATAATATATCATTATAATATTAAAAGTTACAACTGTAGACACCATCGCACAATGTATATATACATACATAATATGCTTAATGTTTATACATAACTGAATAAAAACGAATAAGCATTCAACCTAACCGACATTTTCGTTTTCAGACATTCGAACATTATTCGTAAGGAATACAATACAAACTCGTTATATTTAATATTTTTCTTTTATACATTTATTCGCAGTTAGACACAAATACCACGAATTTAAATTTACAGCACAATATTATTACAACGCAATAAAAATATGATCAATCATTCGGGCTTCCGAAATGAGCAAGGTAACTATAAAGAATTGTGATTTTTTTTTTTACATTATTATTTAATTTTCTTAACATTTTCGAAATATTATTGGTTCATATTATTATACATAATATAGGTATACACACTCCACAGGGAGAGGTTCTTGACACGTCCTAAGAATGGGAGAGGGCGAAAATATTTTGCATTTACATATTATACACACCTCACTTTTTTTTCGTTGAAGGTACCTATCTAAAAAGTAATTCAATATGCTATATACAATATACACATACTTCGTACTTATTTAATATTATGGAATCCATTATTATGCCACCCACCCACCCACTCCGTAAAACCACCACAGAACTGCACGATATACGGACATACAGTGATAGATGTACTGTATTTATTTCAATATAGGCAAACAAGAAAAGTATAGTCAAATAAGCTTTGAAAAAAAAATATTCTTCAAAGTTTTAATTAACAGTATTTTGTACTCAGGTTAAAAAAAAAACTATAGAAAAGCATAAAATGTTCATTATTAAATTTTTTTGACGAAATATACATTTGAAGTTTAAATATAAAATAAATATTATGTTTTGTCTTTAATGGCACATGCTCTTAAAATGGTTTAGTTTAAAAAAAAATAAACTTTTAGAAAACTTTAGAAAAAAACGGGGAATAATTATAACTAAATTTATACCTAACTATTATTATATTACATATTACAAAAAAACTTCATCCTAGAAACGTTTATTCTGCACTGCTGTATAGTGTAATATATAATATAAACGGTCATTAGTCACATATATTTATATACGTATTTAAAACAGATTAACCGCTGTAGTTGTGGGCGTGTAGTTGAGTTGAGAGGAGGAATGTATGTACGAATATAATATTTTACCTTTTATGCTGCATTAACCGGTGCACTGTTCCACCAAAATTCAAAATAATATTATGGAACTGCGCCAAAAGTCAGTCAAAACAGTCGGCTTACATTTGCCTGCACGCTTGTACGATCTAAAATCTAAATCTTATGCCGACCAAAACTTGAAATTCGTATCGTCTAATCGTATTTCGTTCGAAAACAATCTATAATGTAGTTCAGCTGTTAAATTATATAGATAATAATATTATTATTATTATATTATACTATTGCTGGTCCCGTCTCCGAGAGAGAGAATAATTATATTTACATGCGTTGTTTGATTCGATACGACGTTTGCTTATTTGTTACCCAAGACCATTGTAACAAAAGTGCTTTCGCATAAAATACAATTTTTTTCCCCGCGTCAACGCTATCAACGCGTCCGTGTCTAGAATTTTATATTATTATTATCTTAGAATTTTTACCGAAGATGAGGTACATAATATATTATACAATATTATGTAATATAATACCTGATCATATTTCAAAACATTTTAGCGATGACGACCCGTCGTCCCTGTATACATACATATATATATATATATATTATACATTTTTTTTTAAACTTTAGCAGCTGCCAACTAAATGCTGCACAGAACATAATAATAATATATAGGTGTATAACACGGCGTGTCGGATGATACTTTAATGTATATTATTTTGAATTTTCCCTTTTATACGTTTGAAATGTTTTACAAAAGTATATTATTATTATATATAATACGTGCTTAATCCCAGGTGGAAAATGTGTTTTTCTTCCGGTAATAACTCCCTCGTACACGCCGTGACGACATATAATAAAACAATACGCGTATATATTATTGTATAATAATTATTATATATATATACGTATACACAAGTCTGCAGAAAGAATAATATAATAATACAGCAGTCGGGTATTAACAGTTGACAAGGCTGATTTGTAAAAATGAACTTTGAAAATATAATATAATATACGTGCTGCGTCGTACAATATTATAATAATGATAATATTATTAATGGGCGTTCTCCGCATTTAACGCTCACACGAAACGTAAACAGTGGTATATTTTAGTAAAATAATAGGTAATAATTTAATGACATATTATCATAATATTATGTCATTATACATTGTGCGCTTGTTAGACGCTATGTTTTCGTGATAATAATATTATTATAGGTGTGCAAAACACCGATACTTTTGGACCTTTAGATCGATGTGAAAGTTTAGGTATAATACTCGTGAGTACCTAGTCTTATATTATATCGAGTGTTCGTCAATCTTTTTCGATGATTGTTATTATTATTATTTTTGTTTTTTACTGAAAACCACGGCACGAGGGTGTGATATAATTAAATATTAGAGCTATATTAAAAAAGTTACGAGAAATGTGCAATTAAGTCGATTGAAAAGCCACCCCCAAATATTATGGTCTCCGTCAATAGATCATGATGCATATTATTATTATACGGAGGTTTTAATATTATAATAAACACCTCCAGGCGTCCTAAATACATATAAATAACGATAATGACAATAATAAAAATTCTAGTCGGTACCTCCACAAGCGAAACGGTTACGCGTTCGGTGAACGTTGAAGTTTTCGTTTAATAATATTTTGTACAAATTCGCATGCATTACGGAAACGCGTGTGCTAGAAACCCGAGACGAATACAATTCCCTAAGTGCTCTGGAAAACACAATATTCTATTACAGTTGATGGGGTCATATGTGTTGAGTTACAGTGTCCCAAATGCATTTGTCAAAACATCTAGAGAGCGAGTGCGTGTTTGAAAACAATATGTTAATATATTTAGGTATTGACGTACTATTAAAAAATATATATATATATATTATTATACAATCAACCCGTTGTTGATGGTAAAAATTCGCTTTTTTTAGAACGCTGGAGAAGTGATGGATCGGCACATTTTCGATTTCTTATAATCTCATTAATCATCTATCATTATATCGTGTGCGACTCGGGGTGTGTGTTAATCCAATGCCGCGACAACCACGTATAGGGTTAGGAGGCGGTGCTAAAAAAACCGAGGTGAACGTTAAAAGTATAATATTATTACCTAGTCCCTAGAATTGTATATCGTAAGCGTTTTCAACTAAATATAAAACAATTCAAATATAAACATATATGACAATTTTCAAAAGACAATGTATAGGAGGTACATTACTGTACAATATACTAATTAGTTTACCTACGTATAAAGTATTAACATATTCATATTTATTCGTCCAGAAGGTATTTTTTGTGTAATAAACACTCGTCCAATCGGTATATAACTTATTCGTCCAAACAGACCACATTTTGGGTAGATTCGTCCAATCGGTCGACGCCTGATCTTCCACTACCCTACCTGCAGTGGCGTATTTTGAAATTTTTTCTGGGGGGGGTCTAAATATTAGGTACCTACAAGTTTATAATATAAAAAAAACACATACGAGTTACGATGTAATAATTATATTATATTATATTTTTTTCTGGGGGGGGTCCAGACCCGGGGACCCCCCCCGTAAATACGCCACTGCCTACCTGAAAGTGTGCATCACACTGAATCCAAGAGCAGCGCTCTTCCCACAGTGTAGGTTCTTTACGTCTTGGACAAAACAAATACAGAAAATGTTTTTGAAGCTAAAATATTATAAAGAAATCAAGTCGATAATTATATAATATGGGTATTAGTGTACTTGCGTGTAGTTTAGCGTTCGTTATTTTTATCAGTGCATTGTTGTTATAGTAAACGCAGCTTCGGGTACTACAATATACGCGTGCTTGATTCTATAATATTTTAATTAGATAATATTATTAAAATAAACGAAGAGCCAATTCGGTAATTTATTTTAGCGTTACACCAAACGAGTGATAGGTATCAATACTATTATATTCTCAACCATGGCAGTGGCGTGCTTTCATTTACTATAATAGTTACTCATAGACGTATTTAAAACGTTAGCAACCCTAATTTTTACCATCCATCTCCATCCTCATAAAACATGGACATTTTTACGGTAAGAACTTATTGGATACGTGTATCACCCGGTGCAGTTTTCAGATTTGCATTACCTCAAGTCCAAAACTCGTTATAAGAACCTGTATAATATGATTTAAAATACACCCGATAAAAGTAATTTGAACGGTTATGTGCGATGATAATAATAATTTTCTATAATAACTGTAATAATTGCGTATTTACATTTTCCATAAATGCGTCACGATTGAGTTTACCTTTGCTGTAGTTTGACGTTGTGCCGCAACCATAGGACATCACATTTTTTATACCTACTCAGGCCTCAGGTATTATGGTAGACATTTTTTTTTCTATATATTTTATAAAACACAAAGCATTATTTATAGATATGACATTTCAGACAAATTGTGTATTTCAAAAATAAATAGTTCCCGACAATTCCTGCGACATTGATATTAA